AAAGTAAATATGTAGGACTAACAAGATTTGCAAGCAAGTATGTGTGTGTTTAAAAGTAAATATGTAGGACTAACAAGATTTGCAAGCAAGTATTCGTGTGTGTTTAAAAGTAAATATGTAGAACTAACAAGATTTGCAAGCAAGTATTCGTGTGATGTGTGTGTTTAAAAGTAAATATGTAGGACTAACAAGATTTGCAATGAATACTAGAAAAACAAACTATTTCTTAGTTCGTGTACTCCCCTTCTAAATCAACAAAAGTAAAAATGAAAACACTAAATAAAGACAATCCCAATTTATGTTAAATAATGTCAAAGTATACTAAAAACTGTGAATTCCAAGTTACTTGATGGATTTTAAATTTTCCAAGTGTAATACCCAAAAATAAGAATTCATTTGTTGTTTACAAATTTGTACGTTCTTCCTGCGCGAAGTAATACTAAGTTCAACCACTAGGCGGCTTTCAAACCGTATAAAAGAGAACATGTAGGACTAACAGGATTTGCAATGAAGACTTTAATATAAAAATCATGGAAAATATTAGGTATTTGGGAGAATCTGACACTTTTTATCTAAAGTCTAGAATCAAGATAATTCAACATTACTGTCCCTGTCTAAAGTATAAGTTATAAAGTGAATAAAAATTAGTTAACTAGACTGTTTCAAAGCTATCGAAATATGAGTATAATTATATTTGTCAAAAGACATTAACATTAGGCCTATTACATTTTCAAACACTACATTCTTTAACTAGTCCGTTATGGATTTTCAATAAATAGAAGAGTGTACAATAATATTAGTCTAGCCACACTATGTTCGCCATATCCACTGCCGACGACGCGTTTTGCTCAATCCAGAGCTCATCAGGCCATCTTGGAAACACATTTCTAATTCTTGAAAATCTACAAGAGACTAGATAAATAATGTAGAGCTAAAAAATATAATAGACTTAATACTAATGTCTTATGATGAGTATACTTAATATACGTACTTGATTGATGCACTTGCCATACACACAGAAGTTCCACGTTTTGTGTATCCAAACTGACACAGTACCCCATTCCACTCGTCTTCCAGTGCTACATTCAGTTTCATCTGAGAAATAAAGATAGGTACGTTGTAAGCTCAAGAATTTAACAAGTTTATAAATATAGGATGTTATTCAGTACTTGTAAAAAAACTTGTGTTTCTTGTTAAGCACAAATGGACTATCTGTGCTATTCCCAGCTGGTTTTTACTGTTATAAATCTTCAGACTTACCGATGAGCTATTATCAAAAGTTGTTTAATTTATAACGTTATAACTAATTCAAACAAAGACAAAGTCATAAATTATCATGTGGTATTATATTTAATTTCTGAAAAGAGAAAGATTGGAAGTGTGTCCTATTTCAAACATCCTAAAAACAAAATAGCCATGTATACCGACTTACAGTTTCCAGTTACCATACCAAAAGTTACGGTAATCGACTTTGGTTGATGGATGGTAACACACACACTGAATCAACTATATACTAAGATGTATCAACTCATTTTATAAACAGTGTTATTACTCTATTTGTTTTATTTTTAGAACTAATAGTGTAAATTACTAATACAATGTCGCTTACAAGTATACCCGTGTGTATTAAGATCCACTAACGTTATCAATATCAGCAATATAGCAAGTTCAGAAAATATTATTAGCATAATTATTTAGAACGGAGACAGTAAAGGAACAACATAAATGATCAAATAAACTGAACAGCCATTCGTAGTTAAATAAATGGTCTAGTCTTTACAAATACTAATTGGCTTCAATAACTGTAAGGTCAAACTTTCTAGTAGCTGGAGCAGGGAAGAAAGATGTCTACCCAAGACTAAGAGGTCCTACAGCAGTATCCCACCATCTTAGATTACCTATACCAACAGCCAGTCCCATTATACGCATTCAGAAGAAATAAGCACCCAAATAACATTACTGTGTACCACACACACTAGGAAGGTATGGATGGCACTAAACCACGACCAATTATGTATAAGCAGTACAGAACAATTTTGTCAGTGGGGCGTTACCTCTAAAATTGATGACTAACGCAAGTTACTAATCGGTTAATAACGTGTTTACAGTAACTACACGCAAAACACCTGCACGAAATGTACCAAAACAAATGTCCTATAAAATACCTAAGTAAAGATATACTCCTCTTTGGACACGGGAGGGCGACATTATTAGTTCTGTTACCTGCGACATCAGTTATTGACCACCTTAACACTGCACTTGCTACCTGAATTTCAATCGGCTAAGATAAAAACGGTTAAGTAATAATTTAAACCCATTTACTTTCACAGTTAGTGACTCAGGTTCTGCTTAAGCGTTTTTAAGTTATTGTAAGTGGCATTCACTAAGTTAAAAATTACGTACAGCTTGTTTGTTTGTTTGTTTTTGAATTTCGCGCAAAGCTACACGAGGGCTATCTGCGTTATCCGCCCATAATTTAGCAGTGTAAGACTAAAGGGAAGGCAGCTAATCATCATCACCCACCGCCAACTCTTGACTACTCTTTTACCAATGAATAGTGGGATTGACCGTCACATTATAACGCCCCCACGGCTGAAAGGGCGAGCATGTTTGGTGTGACGGGATTCAAGCCCGCGACCCTCAGATTGCGAGTCGAGCGACTTAACCAATTGGCAATGGCGGGTCCCAGTAAGAGAATCGAAAAAATAACAATAAAAACAAACTTTTTAAGATGGTAGACAGACCTTTATTCAGTTAAAATCTACGTTATGAATTTTATATAATCACAATCCTCCAGAGAATGTTTCTATCCTTATCGACTTAATTACAAGTTACAATATCAACTACTTTCTGCGAGTCAACCTTCACAATTCTTACAATCCTCCAGAGAATGTTTCTATCCTTATCGACTTAATTACAAGTTACAATATCAACTACTTTCTGCGAGTCAACCTTCACAATTCTTACAAGGTTTTTTCATTTTTTTCGCTGCGACAAACAAATGTGGAATAAATGAAGAAGCCACTGCAAACACTGGCAAATCACGGTTTCGGCGATTTCTGTAACAAGTCTCCAATGCTACTTTTAACGTTTTCTGAATATATCTATCTTTTTTCAGGCCTGAACTTAATGTGATATAGATAAATATAATAAAGATAAGAATTATTCCATTGTGTAATCTGATTGGAAAACAAACTTTTAATGATAAGCTATTCAGAACCATTTTTTTTTGTTTGGGATCTCAACGTATCTTACGCTAGCACTTGTGATAACAGACTACATAGAAAGAGTATTTTTATAGTTTGTTACCATAGAAACAACAACATTGTTTAATAAATCTCTTGTGAACAATGACTTAATAACAGTGTTGCACATACAATTACATTAGATTTCAGCGATCTGGATATGTATGTAGATTTGATATTAATGCTAGAAATAAACGACCTTATAACACCAAAAAGTTGTTTTTTATTTAATTAGACACTCAACGTTTCGCTTTACAGCTTCTTCAGTTCCGGTTCGCGTTTTAGTAAACCCTCCTGAAGAAGCTGTAAAGTTGAGTGTTTAATAAAAAAAACTACATTTTGGTGTTATAAGGTCGTTTATTTCTGCTACTAATATGTCTTCTATACACCAATACACACTACAGAAACAAAATAATAGATTTGATACTGGAAAATATCAGGATTTATTTTGTTCAAAGTTCTGAAAATTTTTCATATTGAACTATGGAATATGTCTGTAAAATAAAAGTATAAAATATGCACGTAAGTGATTCGCGTCAAACGTGATAAAAACAAACTGATAGAATCGTGTTTCTAGCAAGAACAGTAATATAAAAGTTACCATTTAAAAAGCCGGCGAGGTATTGAAGAACCAACAGACATAAAAATTAATGTTTAGTGAGGAACATACCGAACTAAATAATTAACTCAAAAGATTAATAACAGAAAATTTTACAGTTGTTAAGTTTTGGTTTTTATTTATTACAAAATTTTGCCCATAGGATCGTGTTACTTGAACTTAGTGTTATATCTATACTTATAAAAGTAAACAAAAAACAAACTGTTTGTTTGTCCGCGAACAATTCTGTCGTCTTTGGACCAACCGCAACCAAACTTGGTAGGATGATACAACGGACCAGGTGGCGTGTCATAGGGTAGTTGTTATCCGACCTCACCCACTCTGGGTTACACCCGCGGTAAAAATGTGTATTTAGCTAATAACTCTATAATCTTAGTTAGGGCGCTCAACTCGCAATCTGAGGGTTGCGGGTTCGAATCGCCATCACACCAAACATGCTCGCCCTTTTAGCCGGGGGGGGGGCGTTATAATGCGACGGTCAATCCCACTATTCGTTGGTAAAAGAGTAGCCCAAAAGTTGGCGGTGGGTGGTTATGACTAGCTGCCTTCCCTCTAGTATTTCACTGCTAAATTAGGGACGGCTTGCGCAGATAGCTTTCGTGTAGCTTTGCGCGAAATTCAAAACACACACACACACGAAGTAAAATCTTGGAATAATTTTTTTCCTAAATTTGTTATGTCAAACATTCCATTGTTGCCAGTAAAAATGAAACCAAAACCCAAGGTCAGACCCTTGAAGTGATAAGGCTACATTTTAAAACCCCTTGCTTTTCACATGGTCACTTCTATGTTGGATGTCCAAGAATAGGATCACCAAGAAATCGCTTTATTTTGGCCCAGGAAGAACTTCTAATGTAGCAATGAGGGTGTAGAGAGGGATTAGTAAAATAATTGTAATGCCATTTCTGTGAAATAAACTTGTTGTAAATTATGTGTAAAATAAATTAAGTACAAATTCAATTATTATGCCCCCGGAGGAGGGGCTGGTGCTTCAGCACGAAAATAAATATAACAAAGATATTAGTGATTTCAGTATGTAATCCCGTAGCGAAACAAAATCCTAATGACAAGTTAATCCAGATCTTGTAGGTTCTCGACAGTGTCACACGAAGTAGTAATAGTGAAATAATGAGCTAATAAAGATACATGCTAGCATGTAGCTATTTTCATGTTTATATCGCAACAAACAGACGACAACAGAAACCCAGCGCAGTCGTCGTAGTATTAAGTAATAAACAAAATGTTTAATTCTAGAAAACACGAGCCTTTTCTTTACATATATAAATAATAACGACCTTTATCTCCGAATTCAATAGTTGAAATGGACTTCGACAGACGATATGCTGTCGGAAACGCTACATATATTATAATAAATGTATTGTTATGATTTTAAACGCTAAAAGATGGAGACATACTCACAATAAACACTCCTTGTTTGTGTAATGAAAACTGTTTCATCGACGGTGTAGCAGAACGTATGACATCCTTCGCGAGCCTTGTAGCAGTACGTATGACATCCTCGCGAGCCTTGTAGCAGAACGTATGATATCCTTGGGAGCCTTGTAGCAGAACGTATAACATCCTCGGTAACCTTGTAGCAGAACGTATGATATCCTTGGGAGCCTTGTAGCAGAACGTATGACATCCTCGGTAGCCTTCGAGCAGAACGTATGACATCCTCGTGAGCCTTGTAGCAGAACGTATAACATCCTTGGGAGCCTTGTAGCAGAATGTATGACATCCTCGGGAGCCTTGTAGCAGAACGTATGACATCCTCGGGAGCCTTGTAGCAGAACGTATAACATCCTTGGGAGCCTTGTAGCAGAACGTATAACATCCTCGGGAGCCTTGTAGCAGAACGTATAACATCCTCGGGAGCCTTGTAGCAGAACGTATAACATCCTCGTGAGCCTTGTAGCAGAATGTATGGCATCCTCGTGAGCCTTGTAGCAGAAGTATGGCATCCTCGGGAGCCTTATAGCAGAACGTATGACATTCTCGGGAGCCTTGTAGCAGAACGTATGACATCCTCGGGAGCCTTGTAGCAGAACGTATGACATCCTCGTGAGCATTGTAGCAGAACGTATAACATCCTCGGGAGCCTTGTAGCAGAACGTATAACATCCTTGGGAGCCTTGTAGCAGAACGTATAACATCCTTGGGAGCCTTGTAGCAGAATAAAAATTTATTTTTCTAGACATCTCTGAATTGAATAAACAAGATTGAAAGTT